CATGAGCCGATCCCACACCCCTCACACCCGCAGACACGGGGGCCACGGGAGCCGCACCCCAGAGGGTGAGCCGATCCCACACGCCTCACACCCGCAGACACGGGGGCCACGCCAATGGCTCAGGGGACTTTTCGTTTTCACTATGTGATTTCAGCCTCCACATCCGTGATTTCCTGATGAATCCTGCTTGCGGCCTGGGGACCCCCAAACCACCGCCGTCCAGGCTGCATGGTTCACACGTTGCAAGCATCTTAGTGGGTGACCTCACACCAGCCACTGACATCTACCTGGAGGTGACAGAAGAGTAGTGACTGGAGACCAGGAAGGCTGTGCGCGATTCTCACACAGTGCTTCCCCAGGCCTCAACGCTTCCAGGTGTGAGACCCCAAACCCACCGAGACAGACGGGCCAAACATCCTCATCCACATTTCACTAAGCAAGTGAGGCAGGCGCTTTAGCCAGACCATCAGGTGTCCCTCTCTCCCACCGTGCGGACAAACGGTCCCTCAGGGGCCGTCTCAGGCTGTACCTACCATAGGCACTGATGGAGCACCACTGGCGACGCCCACGCTCACCTCGGTGTCGCTGACGTCACTGACGCTGGCCCCTCCTTCCCTACAAGTTAACACACAGACGAAATGTACATCGCACACATTAAGAAGACACTCCTTCACCATTTTTTGTTTTTGTTTTTTTGAGACAGGTTCTTACTCTGCTCACCCAGGCTGAAGCGCAATGGTACGATCTCGACTTACTGCAATCTCTGCCTCCCGGGTTCAAGCAGTTCTCCTGCCTGAGCCTCCTGAGTAGCTGCGACTACAGGCGAGTGCCACCACACCAAGCTAATTTTTGTATTTTTTTGTAGAGACCGGGTTTCCCCATGTTGGCCAGGCTGGTCTCGAACTCCCAGGCTCTAGCGATCTGCCCACCTCAGCCTCCCAAAGTGCTGGATTTACAGGCGTGAGCCACCGTGCACGGCTTCTTTAACCATTTTAAGAATACTATGACAAAACCATAACTAACTAGAATATTCAGTGGCTGGCATCTTGTTTAACAAATGCACACTAAAAGATGCTCCTAAGAGTCTTCCCGTTACGGTAAGAATTTCTGAACTGTATTACTTACTGGCTCCAGCTGGCCTTCTCAAACTGCCACACCACCCTTCATGGCATGCACCCCTCGTCCAGCTGAGCTCAGCCCCTTCCCGCACCTGCCCGACCCTTTCCTCCCACCTACAAGACTGTGTGCACCCTGTGCCCCTCCTGGAACAGCCCCTCTGCACAGCCTCTTCTCCAACTCCCACCAGTCATGCAAGGCACAGTTCAAAGGTCACTCCCTCCACAGAGAGCCATTCTCGGCCTTAGCTGGAGCTAAACTGCCCTCCCCAGACCCTCTGTCTCCTCTCCTACCATCCTTGTCGGCATTCAGAACTGCCTACCTTGCATTTCAGCCCTTTAAGTACATTCCTTCCATAAACACATGAGGGTGGGACTCTGAGTCACCTGTTCCCACTCTTGTGTGATTTTTTTTTTTTTGAGACAAAGTCTTGCTCTGTTGCCCAGGCTGGAGTGCAGTGGCACATCTTGGCTCACTATAACCTCTGCCTCCTGGGTTCAAGCAATTCTTTCTTTTTTTTTGAGACAGAGTCTCACTCTGTCGCCCAGGCTGGAGCGATCTTGGTTCACTGCAACCTCCACCTCCTGGGCTCAAGCGATTCTTCTGCCTCAGCCTTCCAAGTAGCTGGGATTACAGGCACCCATCACCACGCCTGGTTAATTTTTGTATTTTTAGTAGAGACAGGGCTTCACCATGTTGGCCAGGCTGGTCTCAAACTCCCGACCTCAGGTGATACATCTGCCTCGGCCTCTCAAAGTGCTGGGATGACAAGCGTGAGCCACTGTGCCCGGCTGCACAGATTATTTCCAGGCTATGGTGTGGCACGTGCATCAGAGCCCACAGTCCATCCTGCCTGACTCGAACATCTCTAGCACAAGCCCAGGCACAGTCAAGGCCCACGGTAAATATTCAGTGCATAGGGAGGGAGCGGGAAAACCCTCCAGGTGAGTCCCTTGAACCTGACTCTTTGCTTTTGACAGTCGTTCCCATAGAGATGTGTTATGGGTTAAGCTGTGCCTCCCACAAACTTACGGGGAAGTCCTAACTTGTCTGAAACAAGTACATACAGCAGAAAGAGCGTTGCCCTGAAGCTCCCCACACACCCCTTCCATTTTTTATTTTTATTCTAATTTTTTAATCTTTTTATTTGAGACAGAGTCTCGTTCTGTTGCCTAGGCTGGAGTGCAGTGGCGTAATCTCAGCGCACTGCAACCTCCGCCTCCTGGGTTCAAGCATTCTCTGCCTCAGCCTCCCAAGTAGCTGGTACTACAAGCAGCTGCCACCATGTCTGGCTAATTTTTGTATTTTTAGTAGAGATGTGGTTTCACTATGTTGGCCAGGTTGGTCTTGAACTCCTGACCTCATGATCCACCCGCTTCAGCCTCCCGAAGTGCTGGAATTATAGGCATGAGCCACCACACCCGGCCTTTTTTTTTTTTTTTTTTTTTTTTGAGTAAGACTCTCGCTCTGTCACCCAGGCTGGAGTGCAACGGTGCCATCTTGGCTCACTGCAACCTCCACCTCCTGGGTTCAAGCAATTCTCTTGCCTCAGCCTCCCGAGTGGTTGGGATTACAGGTGCATGCCCCTATGCACGGCTAGTTTTTGTATTTTTAGTAGAGGCAGGGTTTCATCATGCTGGCCAGGCTGGTCTCGAACTCCTGACCACAAGTGATCCATCCCCTCTCTGCCTCCCAAAGTGCTGGGATTACAGGTGTGAGCCACTGCACCCAGGCCCCTTCCATTTTTTTTTTTTTTAATAACACAGATAATTGATTACGTTACATTAATAATATCTAACAAGGCTCTAGAGCTGGTAATTTCTGGGCTTGATATCACCACCAATAGCTTGAGTTCTTCCCATTTTACATTTTTCCATCCTCAGAAAATTGGCTCTGTCCTCAGTCAAGCCCAGTTAAGACAGCTACATTTCCAGGAGAAGAAAAGCCTGTTTCTCTTTCAGCGTTTCTTTTTATGTGAGAAAATCTTTCAGAAAAAAAAAATAATGGCCAGACAGGGAGTGGGGCATGGTGGCTCATGCCTGTAATCCCATCACTTTGAGTGGCCAAGACGGGTGGATCACCTGAGGTCAGGAGTTCGAGGTCAGCCAGACCAACAGAAACCCCGTCTCTGCTAAAAATACGAAATTAGCTGGGCATGGTAGCACATGCCTATAATGCCAGCTACTCGGGAGGCTGAGGTAGGAGAATTGCTTGAACCCAGGAGGCGGAGTCAGCAGTGAGCCAAGATCGCACCATTGCACTCCAGCCTGGAAAACAAGAGCAAACTCTATCTCAAAAACAACAACAAAAACCCAATGGCAAGGGAATGAGCATATCAAACTGGCTTAGGCTAATTAGGATTTATTCCTGAGCTGGGGATATGATCACCTTCCCTGAGCAAAACTCTTGATATAATTAACCAAGAAAAAAAAATGAAAAAAGGATATGTGTCAGCTGCAAGTGTCTTGACAGATCAACTGAGCCAACTGAGATTTAACAAGTTGAGAGTCTCAAAGCAGTTTGGTTAATTTCCTTGACATTAGTTATTTACTAATGTTTACCAAATTGCTACTTTGTGTCATACTTTCTACTAGCCATTTACCTAACAATATCATGGCATTAAAATAAACTAAATCTTTATTTTCGTCAAAAGGGATGCCAAGTAAGATAGAAACAGAGCTCCTGTCTAAAACATCTTTTTTTTCTTTTTTGAGATGGAGTCTAGCTCTGCTGCCCAGGCTAAAATGCAGTGGCGCAATCTTGGCTCACTGCAACCTCCACCTCCCAGGGTTCAAGCGATTCTCCTGCCTCAGCCCTCTGAGTAGCTGGGATTACAGGCACCCGCCACAATGCCCAGCTAATTTTGTATTTTTAGTAGAGGCAGGGCTTCACCATGTTGTCCAGGCTAGTCCTGAACTCCTAACCTCAGGTGATCCACCCGCCTCAGTCTGCCAAAGTGTTGGGATTACAGGCGGCTCAGAGCCACCGTGCCCAGCCGACATCTTTTTCTTTCTTTCTTTGCAGGCTCCCCACCTGCTTTTTCTAGGTTTCAACCATAAGCCTCCAATCTCTTATCATCAGGTGGTTAGGTTGGAGTAATTCCAGCCAGGACCCTGGCTGGGCACTGGAGCTCAATCATGCCTGCAGAGTAAGGAATGACATATTTATATCATCACTAAGAACAAAAGCTACCACTTTTTTTTTTTTTGAGTCAGCATCTCACTCTGTCGCCCAAGCTGGTGTGCAGTGGCGTGTTCTCGGCTCACTGCAACCTCCACCTCCTGGGTTCAAGTGATTCTCCTGCCTCAGCCTCCTGAGTAGTTGGGACTACAGGCGCATGCCACCATGCCCAGCTACTTTTTTGTATTTTTAATAGAGATGGGGTTTCACTGTGTCAGCCAGGATGGTCTCGATCTCCCGACCTCATGATCTGCCTGCCTCGGCCTCCCAAAATGCTGGGATTACAGGTGTGAGCTACTGCCCCTGGCAAATCACTTATTAAACACTAGCATGTGTCAGGCACTGGGTGGGGTAGTTTATGAGTATTCTTCTCCACTGTGTATATTCATATTATCATCTCATGTGATGCCCAAAGGCAGATGATATGGTTTGACTGTATCCCAATCTCACCTTGAATTGTAATACTTACCACGAGTCAAGGGCAGGGCAAGGTGGAGATAAACGAATCATGGGAGTGGTTTCCCATGTACTGTTCTCATGGTAGTGAATAAATCTCGTGAGATTTGATGGTTTCATAAACTCGAGTTCCCCTGCACAAGCTCTCTTGCCTGCCACCATGTATGATGTGCCTTTGCTCTTCCTTCACCTTCCGCCATGATTGTGACTGTGAGTCAATTAAACCTCTTCCTTTTATAAATTACCCAGTTTTGGGTATGTCTTTATTAGTAGCATGAGAACAGACTCATACAGCAGGAATTCTCCCCATTTTACAGATGAGGAAAATGGGGGCCAGAGAATAAAAAGAAGAGGAGAGAGTGCAGCCTGTGGACAGCCTACATGCTTCCCTCCCACACCAGACGGCAACTGCTGTTTCACATATGCCTCCCACATCAGATAGCAGCCTCCTGCGGGGCAGCAGAGTGGGCTGGCTCAGGAGTGGGCTGACTCGCGTCTGTTCTCATGTCTGGTACACAGCCAGCCAGGCCTGGTGTGGGGCTCCAAAATCGTGTGTAGACAAGTGATCCGCCGGGCCATGCCCCACAGTGCAGAAAAATGGGTGATTCCTTCTCAACCCTAAGCAATATTAAGCCCTCTTCCTTAGAAAACTAAATAAATACCTAATATCAGATTGTTTTATTGTTGCTTCCTCCTAACACAGAAAAACGGACGTAGGGTTAAGGGTACTGAGTAACATGTTGTATCTCTCCTGGTTCACGTGAATTGATGCATCTGAATGTTATGTCACTTTCTAAACTGAGTATCATAAAAACCTAACCAGGAAAAACAGAGAGTGACATATTGACCTTTTATGTTGAATGCA